CCATAGTGGAATTTACCAGGTGCCACTGCTTTATTTGAAAATTTGCCTATGAAATGTGACAATAAGGCAGCCGAATGTCAGAAAATAAAGCGAGAAAGCCGTTTTATTACTGCATCTCTTTATTGCAACATGGAGCAGTTTTTAAAGACGATGCTTTTCCTATATTTTGTTAGACTTTTCATAAGTAAAAATATTTTGTGAATATTACTTTCTTCATATGAATTATATCACATTTTTTGTTTAATTCAAGGCCTATCAAACAGGTTTAGAGCATTTGAGCAAAAACAACGTTTGCCTGTATTTTGTTGTTGCTTCTGGTATCGAAGGTGCCAAAAACTGTTCTGATTTTTTTCTTCTACATCACAGCGTGCCATGCGAAATACGAAAAGGTAAAAAATTTAAATTGAAAAAATTAAAATTGTTGCAACTTTCTTTCTTAGTAAATTGGTTCGCTTCTCGAAGCATTGATCCATCCATTCAATTCAATTTCAGCATCAACTGGTAATATATGTATACCACCCAGCGCCCCCACATGGGCGGCTTGTGGGAATCTGCAGTGAAAAGCTTTAAAATCCATCTAAAGAAAACCGCTGCAACCCACAAGTTTACTTTTGAAGAATTCACGATGCTTCTGGTGCGAATTGAAGCAGTACTCAACTCGAGGCCTCTGTCCGCACTTTCCCAAGACCCAGCTGATATGACAGCACCTACTCCGGGTCACTTCCTTCTAGGTGCACCGCTATTATCCATTCCCGAGCCTAATGCGGAAGACCTCTCTCTACTAAACCGGTGGGAGAAAGTCAAACCACTTCACGCAGGCTATCGTGTTACATCAGCCAAGCACCTTTCAACAGCATCAGCAGCCATCAATAGTACCAGCATCCATCAACAGCATCAGCAGCCTTCCTCATCATCAGCGGAAAAAACAACACCAGGCACAGGAGTAAAAGAAGCGTACATACACATACACATAAATCAAGGAAAGTAGTAAGTAGGCAAATTTTTAATTTCCTTAAAAATTTAAATAATATAACTTTAATTTTCTTAAAAGTCATATTATTTCTAATAAACTGCAAACAGACATATACACATACATATATATATATATATATATATATAATTTAATAAAAGGCGTATTTTTTCTCGCCAAAAACGGTTCTATTAAAATTGCGGATACTTTCCTGCCGCCCAAAATTTCCACAACGGCAATTTGCCAACTCCTCAACTCGAGGCCTCAGTCCGCACTTCCCCAAGACCCAGCTGATATGACAGCACTTACTCCGGGTCACTTCCTTCGAAGTGCACCGCTATTGGCCATTCCCGAGCCTACTAAACCGGTGGGAGAAAGTCAAAGCACTTCACCACCAATTTAGTCGCCGCTGAAAAGAAGATTACCTCAAAGATCTTCAGAAGAGATACAAGTGGAAAACCCCACAACGCGACCCTCAGCCAGGCGACATCGTCGTGATCAAAGAAGATTCGCTCCCCCCCCCCGAGTGGCGATTGGGACGAATCGAAAACGTTCGCCACGGCCCTGATAACCACATACGTGTCGTGGAAGTCCGTACACAAAATGGAGTTATCACGCGGCCACTTGTCAAACTGTGCTTCCTTCCAAAGCACAATAAATAATTCTATATATATTTTCCTTCTGTATATTAAGGGCCTTAACTTCCCATTTAAATATTGTACCCCAGTACTTCTCGTTTCTCTGCCTCTGCTTCTACTTCCAGATCGAAGACATCATGGCAGCACGGAAGGCATACCCCCTGGCTCCAACGGTGGAGACAGACAACTGCCTACAATGTCGGCTCTGCCACCGGTACCACGCCTTGCGGACGTGCCCGGTCTTCAAGGCGATGAAGCCGCCACAACGGTTGGGAGTCACCCATGCGCGCACGGGGCCAAGGGAACAGGGGCCCAAGAAGCGGAAACCGGCCACAAAGGCCCCAAGGAGCATCAAGCGGCGCGTGCCGCCGAAGAAAAATGCGCTGAAGAAGGCGCGAAGAACCCGCACAACCAGGCGCCGCAACCGCCGCGCAAGAAGACCGCCCCACGGACGATCGCGCGCACTCCCCAAGGCCTACAAACGGCCAATTACGAGGGCCGCACCACCAACCGCGTCCTTGGCAACACCATTCACGCCCTTCGAGAGCTGCAGAAAGTGCTCAAGAGCACATCCCTATAGGGCGGGGACGATGCTTAAGCCGCCGCTTAAACCTAATTCAGCGGCCGTGCGCGCATCCATTGGCGGTAGTGTAGTCGAAGCGACTCCGAAAATTTTTACCGAGCGCGCACGGCCGCCTACCATCCTCGCAAAAATTACCACCGAAGATAGTTCAGCAACTACCAGCGCTTAACGCGCACGCGCCCTGTGCACCTAGTGTCTTTGAATTGGAAATAATCGAAATACGTAAACTAAACTTTGTAGCCATAACAGCGTGTGAATAAACAACCTAAAACTTTGTAAATTTAAAATCGAAACTAAAGTCTTTTCCTTCAAGTGGAAATTACAGTGTAGTGAGGTGAGTGCGAAGGGACCAGGCGACCAATTACTCAAAATGTACATTTATCCATTCAAAATTCGTCACCTAAATGCAACTTCATTTCTGCATTAATGGGCTGTTTTTGCTTACGCGTAAAAGCACATTTAGCTCTAAATGCTACTCTAAATGTACATTTATCCATACAAAATTCGTCACCTAAATGCAACTAAATGCAACTCCATTTTTGCATTTAGAATCTAAATGCTCAAAGCAACCCTGTGATCTTCCAAAATTTCCACGATTCGAACATGGTTTAATGAGAAGAAGTGGCAACATTGCTTTTTCGAGTATACAGTCGCTAGCTGCGTTTCAGTGGTCGCCGATCGAGATTTCATTTATTATTTTACATTATTTGGAAAGAAAAGTTACGCAAATTAAACATCGATATGATGCTGATAGAAATCTGGATTAATTTGTGATCAACTCTGTTTGCTTTGTTTCCTAATTAAGTGTGGAAATTATAATTGACAGCACCGACACATGAATATATACACAAACAAATGTTTGGTTATGGTTAAAATAATTCAAGTTTTTGTATTGAATTTTCGGTTTAGAATTTATTTTTTCCTTTTCAGTAGGGATTTTTGGACATTATCTTTTCCGTGAGAATTTATCGTAATAGATACGGATCTGAATAAGCGACTGGAACACGGCTGTTTGTCAAAAGCATACGATTTCGAACTCGCGTAAATGTACATTTGCTAAATGCGATAGCATGAACGCTCTTCGAAAACATATGTTCGAAAGTGCTAAATGTTGCATTTTAAATGCAGCAAAAACGCTGCATTAATACTAGGTTCACATATAAGTAGATTATCCTCATTTTCGAGCTTAACTCCCTAATCTGTAATTAGAAAAAGAGATTAGCCATATAAAATTCGTCCCTTGTTAATCTGTAATAATAAAATAATCTCAGATTTAACCGATAACTTTTCGGTGTCCGTCCTAGCTTTATCGATTGTTTTTGCGAAAAAGAGGAGAAATGCCAAATGTAAAAGTAAACAAAAATGGACGCTAGCAAGGAAAAGAGGTTTGTAAAGGTATTTTTAATAAAATGTTAAGTTAAAATACATTTATATTGCTCGTAATAGTAGAAAAATGTGATCACGGTGGCACAGAGAAGAACATAACTTTTCCTTGAGATATTGCCTATTGAATATTTGCCTGTGTAAACGGGGTGATTAAAAAACGAGCTTTGATTGAGATAATATTGATACGTGAACATACTCTAAGAGTCTAAATGCTAAAAGCAAATATGTGATCTTCAAAAATTTCCAAGATTCGAGCATGGTTTAATGATAAAAGCTGGCAACATTGCTTTTTCGGGTATACAGTTGCTAGCTGCGTTTCAGTGATCGCCGATCGAGATTTCATTTATTATTTTACATTATTTGGAAAAAGAAAATTTGCGCAAATTCAACATCGATACTGATAGAAATCTGGCTCAATTTGTGATCAACTCTCTGTTGTTTTTTTCTATTTAATTGAGGAAATTTCAATTGACAGCACCGACAAATGAATATATACACAAAGAAATTTTCGGTTATGGTTAAACCAATTTAAGTTTTTGTATTGAATTTTTGTTTAAAATTTCTTTTTCCTTTTCATTAGGGGTTTTTGCACATTTTTTTCTCTGTGCGAATCGATCGTGATAGATACGTATCTAAATAAGCGACTGGAACACGGATGTTTGTCAAAATCATACGATTTCGAACTCACGTAAATGTACATTTGCTAAATGCGATAGCATGAACGCTCTTCGAAAAAAATATGTACGAAAGTGCTAAACGTTGCAATTTAAATGCAGCAAAAACGCTGCATAATCTTTAATTATTGAATCATTGTTTGTTAGGCTTTCAGCAAATTGGTCGTCCAATCATAGTTGCTTCATCGTCACAATCATGATGCAACGATTACATGACGACTACACTTTCGCACACTAGGTCGTGATATTTCAGTTCATTTGACGTCTAAAAATTCACCTGGAGCAGGTATTTTCTGTTTTTCTTGTTAATATTTTCGCGAAATATTTACAAACACCTGCAATTTTTAAAATATAGACTGTGCTGCAAAATTCTAGACATAATTTCTCAGTAATATCTCTTCTTTTCTTTTCCTGAAATGTGTTTTGAGCATGCACACAGAGACTTTTTTACAATTTCGTCATATTTTATAGTTAAAACGCTCACATTTATAGAATCTTAATGCAATTATCCACTTTTTAATAATTTCCATAGATTCTATGCAATATCTACTGTTTTTTTGCAATTTTAATGCAAATATTAACTTTTTCACTAATTTTTCCCCATAAAATGTAAACAAACAATGCGTGCACAACGTTTAGCAAACGACAGTGCCGTACTTATCCGTTTCTGCATCTTCTACGATTTGCCGATAACTAGCCGATAACGACAATAGACAAGTGTGCAGATAGCCTTACCACTTCAGTCCATTTGGGTTATATATTCGGAGGGGACCATAAACTGCACAATTGGCGGGCGGTTTTTTGTGAGGCTGTTGCAAAAGAATGGGGCTGTTATACCCGTAAATTGAAACAACGTACTTGAACACATCTATTTAGAGAAGTAACGTGAGAATTGTTTAAAACATAGAGCGATAACCTTTTATAAATATTAGTATATCGATTAAAGATTTTAATTTGACAGTTTGTCTTCGTACAATTAAAAGGAAATTATTCGAAGGTCGAAATTACCCAAAATTATAAAAGAATCTGAATGAATTAGCAATTGTTCCAGAATATAGAAATAAAACTACTTAGCAATATAATTTCTCTGCTTCATACGTACTTTTGAGTGAGTACCCGGATACGTATAAAGATCAGCATGGCAAACATGGCAGTTTCTCGCATCAAGCGGGAGTTTAAGGAAGTTATGCGAAGTGAAGAAGTGAGTATAGTGGAATGTAGCTATAGGAAAAATATCTAGAAGCATTTGCAAAATGACATGTACATATGTACGTTCAAAACGTAAACTTGTATATCTGTTTAAGGATATGCACATTCGGCTTGTACATATATACATATTTATTTAGAAGAATGACAAGTTCAATAGGAACATTTGTATTTTCAAATGGTCTGCTCAAGTTGTTTCATACAAATTCCAAAAACTAGGCTTCTGACAATGCTAGATGAAGGTTGCTGGATTATGTATTAAGTTCTATTAATTGGCCAATATGCGGCACGTAAAATTTACTATCGAGTTCATCACAGGAGGAACACTTAGGAAAGGAATCTCGGGAAACATTCATATATGTATGTGTCATGGTTAAAGGAGTGTTGGATGGTTGCTGTTTTGTTTGCTTTCGTGGTAGCTCCAACCCCGCTTTTTATTGAGGGTATGAACCGCTATTTACAAAAATGGAACCCCGTTGCTTACTAAGCACAATACATATTAAACAATAAGAGTACTTTTAAATAATAGTTTGATCCTTTAGCAACGTGTGTATGTATATAGAATATTAATTCCACCCCACAAATTCCGGCGTAATAAGCGAAACAAAAGTTCAATTATAGGAAAGCCAAACCCAGGAATATTCGCACACAAGTCTGATGTTGAGAGGGAAGGAACACACTTTGCTGAAGAAAATATGTAGTTCTAAAGACTGTTTTCGCTAAGCAATTATTTGGACGGCATAAGCGCCCACCGCGCTGATAATTCAAATTTCGGTGGCGTCCACTAGTCCCAAATCGTGAAATTATTAAATTAGCGTCAAAATTCAACGAATTGATCTGATTTTTTTTCTGTGGACAGCTTATGCAATTATAAACATGATACATGGTAGTAGGGCACTTTAGCGGAACCAGGTCAAAATGGACGGAAAAATTCGAGGGTGGTATCAATTGACGCGTCTTGACGCCAATAAAAATAATCCGAGGCCGGAAATTTACTTTTTTAATTCTATCAGGCCGATTCTGAACAGGGAGTTTTCTCTCTTTTCCCTTTCCTCCTATCATGAATAAAAATTCCCTGCGGTTTTTTTATATTAAATGGCAGAGTTGAGCTGTCAAAAAAGTATCAAACAGCTCTTGCGAAGTTTGAATTTTCTCCTTCCAAATTTTCGGGGAAACTGCTACTTCCTTGGAGTTCGTTATTGGAGGATTTCTTTGTCAGGAGAAACAAATTCCCGGTGAACAAACTCCCTGGGAGTATTGAGAATTGGGCTGATTATGGAGTAAATGAACTCAACTTAACACATATTTATAAGTTTTTGTACATTTGTGATGTTTTAAGTGTACATTTTCGGGAAATTCTGTATTTAATTGCAAAATTCCGGTGTTGAAAATCTCCACACAAACAATCTTGTGAAGTTAATATAAATACGATGGAGGAAAACTGGTGCTGCCACTGTATTAATACAATTTGTATTTCAACTTTGAAAACATCCAAATAATGCACAAGAAATATACTTTTGTGAAAAGGGGTTGCTTTTCTTTTCTTCGCACGCAGAAAGGAGAATTCTACGTATTGAGGGTTATAATCCCTATGCGAGGCCGAAGTCCGCCTACGCAAAAAGGTGTTCTGCCCCTTTTCTTTGGCAACACAGAAAGGAAAATTCTACGTAGTGAGGGTTATAATCAGGGTGTCCAGATTGTTTAAAAAAAAGCGCAAATTTTTAAAAAAAAAATCGCCAAAAATCGCCATTTTTTTAACTAAAATTCATGAAACCGATTTAACATCTTTTATTTAAAAAATGAGATCTTGTTATAATATAGTTTTTGAAACCAAAAACGAATATAATACCTTCAGAGGGTAATAATAAATAACACAAATCACTTATATAATAATGATGTACACACGATTTTCTTTCAAAATATGGATACTTTTTAAAAATATTTGTTTCAACACATTTTGCAATAGGACTGCGCAATTACTAAATTTATTATAACTCATATTAATTGATTAATCGCATAATCCGCTTTTAAAAGCTGGGCGCTAAAAATTAAATAAAAACCTATAATAAGGCGAGATCAGCTATTTCCACAATTTCTTCAAAATCACCTATAGGGTCTGAATGATTTACTTTTCTGTTGTTGTCATATATTGAGCTATTCAATCCTGATAACATACTGTGGAAACGTTTTGCAGCAGAAACTATTAGCCTTCATATAACACTTTATTCGAACTATTGAATAAAGGCTTTCCAACCTCATCATATTTCGAATCTTAGTTTTTGTTGAATTCATTACGTAAAAAATACTCTCAACAAAGTATTTGAGTGCGGCAAGGATAATAATATGAATTTGCTTATATTTCCAAACATTTTATTGCCTGTTGCGGTTTTCACTCCGTGAGAAATTATCCAAAATTCTTCAAGAGTCGGATGGAATGGTTCTGAGAAAGGGTACTCCATGGGAAAGTTCAGAGATTTAAATACTCAGTTTCCGCTGCTTTTCTTTCCTTCAAAGTCAAATAGTGATTGGGCAGGTCCCTGAAACTCGCCCTGTTGTGATTCACACACTTTTCTGGTGACAAAATCAAAGCTTTTCTAAAAGCATTTAATTGACTAGGTAATCGCTCCAAAAGTTCTTCGATTAGGGTGATTAAGCATTTTTGACAGTCATTTAATATGCTTCTTAAGTCAAGTTTATAACGCGGAGTATAAGCCTCTTGTGTAAAATTATCGTGGAAAACTAAGTTTTGTATATTTTTATAATTCCTTTTTAGGAAAAAATTTATTTGAAGGGAAAAAATCGCCAAAATCGCCAATGGTGATTTCCTAAATTTTTACGCTCTAATATCCAAAAAAAAAATCGCCAAATTGGCGCCAAATCGCCAAATCTGGACACTCTGGTTATAATCCCTAAGCGCGGCCGAAGGCCGCCTACGCACAAAGGTGTTCTCTGCAAAAGTGTTCAGCCCATTTTCTTTGGCAACACAGAAAGGAGAATTCTACGTCGTGAGGGTTATAATCCCTAAGCGCGGCCAAAGGCCGCCTATGCAAGATTGTGACATTTCGTACTACCATACCCAAACCTAAAATTCTTAAAATTTTATTATAAATCTTTTTGTTTATTTCAAAGCATTTTGCTCTCAGAATCGAAATTTCAACAAAAAAGGGTATTTTCTTGGGTACGGTTCCATTATTTGTACAATAATTTGGGTTATTGTGTTCAAACGCGTAACCCGATCAAAAAAATTCTAATTCACGTGTGGTGAAACGATAAAACGTAAGTTTATAATAATATCTAAAATTTTCGAAGACAAAATTTTAACAAATTCGGGTGCAATAATGTTTGTAAAAAAAAATACTGTGGTCAGCGTAGCCTGAATCGGACTGATGAGGGTTATTTTTTCTAAGCGCGACCGAAGGCCTACAACGGGTAAAGGTATTTTGCGCAAAAATCCTGTGGTACGCGTAACCCGAGTTTACATTTACTTTTTCAAAATGCTAATTTTACCCCATTTTCCAATGGGTCCCCAGAAGTCTGCAGAGCCGTCGGAGAGAAAAAGGCTGTTTTTTCTTAAAGTTTGGACTGTTCTCTTTCTAATGTCCACAGCCCCTCCGCCTCCGCTCCGCTCCTCACCCCAAACCCATTGCACTTTTTGTTTTTGAAAGAGAAGAGGGCTATTGTGTAATAAGTTGTTGTTGTTGTTGTAGCGGCTACAACAACCCCGCCCAGATCGGTTGATATCTCAGTCGTCGTCAAGTTCCACTACCGGCGGCCCTAGGAAACGTGCAGCTTCTATCGGGTCGGTGCACAAGGACAAAGCCGTTAGGGTTGTCGGTGTAATGAGTTGATAATTGTAGTTCTAGTTTGCGTACTAACAATAAATCATAAATATTGTATGTCGGCCGCTGTGGTGTAGTGGTAAGCAGTGCGCGCTTCCACTCCGCAACGCCTGGGTTCAAATCCTAGTCAAAGCAACATCGCAAAAAATATAGAAAAAAAGGTTTTTTCTTAACAGCGGTCGTCCCTCGGCAGGCAGTGGCAAATCTCCGAGTGTATTTCTGCCATGAAAAACAGCTTCTCATAAAAATACAATCGCCGTTCGGAGTCGGCGTAAAACTGTAGGTCCCTCCGCTCTGTGTGACAACATCAAGGCGCACGCCACAAATCGGAGGAGAAGCTCGGCCAAACATTAACATATGTGTAAACGCCAATCTATTATTGTTTTACACCCCCTCCAATATTGAACACTAAAATATATTTATTTTTACCCAAAGAAACAACGATATTTTCAAAATATACTAGAATGGATAACACTCACTTTTCTGAAAGTTATGAAGCCCATGGGTCCCAAAGTAAATTCCACTTTCGAATTACTTGAAAGACATGTAGTTAAATGGACAAAGACAATATATCCGTCCGATATAGAGAACTGTAGTAGTCCTGGCTAGCTACATTGTGAAATAATCATATGACATATCTCAAAATATGTTCAATCAAATTTTATGAATTTAAAAATAAAGATTTTGTCAAGTGTTTATCGAATTTATTCTAAAATTTAAAAATGTTTAAGATACGATATTAATTATTTTCAAAAGGTAAATGTTAACACAACTATTATATTTATAATCCCAAATTTATGATATAAAATCCCCTCCACATAAAACTTAAATTTGGTAACGCCACTTGAGCAATTGTCAAAAATCTGCTTTCTAATCAAAAAGTGATGTATTGAAACTACCTTCTTTTTTGTATCATGATTATAAACAACTTTTATTATTATTAGTGATTTTGTAAAATATGACCTACTTTTTAAGGGAAACAATTTTTTTTTTATGTGGAGAAAAACACATTTTCAGAATTTTATAACGCACTAACCACGGATCCGGAATGAGGCTTATGGCACATTATAGAGGGCATTATTGTTGACAATTTCTCCATAGTCACCTATTGCATACGTCTGCGACCCTAAAAAATACAGACCCTTAAAAAAAATTT